GTATCGTCGCTGTGCGGAAGGAGACCCCGCGTCCTCGGGGGCATCAGAGGTCCCCGAGGGGTCTGGTGCCGTGACTTGGGCAGCGCGGGTAGCTGCAGGGAGGCCGGGTTGGGGTGGGGGGGGTCTGCTCGGTGTTCATGGCTTATTCCCTGCACCTCAGGCCTTCACGATGAGGATGATCGAGAGCGTTGACTCCGTGGTCGCCAGGTCCGGTGAAGACCTCTGGGCTGAAATCTGCTCGTGTCTGCCCCATCCCGAGCAGAAGGATGCCAGCGATGCCTTCACAGACTCCTTCATGGACTCCTACAGCAGCGGCGGCGGCCAGGGCAGCGGAGCCGGGGGCTCTTCCCAAGCAAACGCGAGGCCCTGGGCACCCCTGCACGATTCAGAAGTGTATTTAGCGTCCCTGGGTGAGTGTCTTTGATTTCTCTCTTTGCTTGGGTGCCTGGTGACACCTGATTATGTGGCTGAGGCCACAGGGCTCTGGGTGGAAAGCTGTCTTGTAGCATCTAGTTAGGAAGGAAGGGGTAAAAACTGCCTTCCCACAAAAAAAAAGATTTGTGTGTTAAGATGGCAGATCATGCAGATCATCTTTGCACAATTGTTTCTGGTAATTCCTGCTTATCTGTAAAGCCATACATTTATTCTGAGCTGTGTAACAGCTGATAGAATCACTTGAGGGATGATAAAGTTACCAGTACTGGAGCAAACATCCCAGCACAGCTGAGTGCTGCACTCTTTAGCTCTCGTTTCTCTTGGATACTCTGGCTAAGTCAGTAGAAATAAACCAGTTCTGTGTTTGTCCCCGGCCAGGATTAGTGGCTGTGGAATGCTGGCTTCTGTACAGCTCTGGCTGGGTGCTTGGGCAGATATAATTCACATCTTCTGAGTTGCTAGGGCCAGGGGGTTTCAGTGACAGCTCCGTTCTGCCCCACAAGACACCTCCAGAGATTTTAAGAGGGCCATGGCCTTGTAAACCAGCCCAATTCAACTAATGGTGCTACACTTTTCAGCAAGGAGTGTGATTGCAAGTCAATACCTGACCTAATCCACGGAGGAAAACACTGTAATAGGAACTTGTGACCAGAGGAATTAATGACATTCTCTTTCTTGTAGCTTTGTGTATTACAGTTGGGTTACCCTGTGTCTGGTCAGGAGGTGGTTTTCGTCATCCCCTGTGGCTGGGAAACTCCCAACACCACATTGTTATGAGATACCCACTAATAATACTGCTGCACATGCATTTTTTAACCTGTGCTTGGGCATTATTTGGGTTCACACTGCAATTAGTGATTTCGTGCCAATTTGCATGGAAAATGTGGGACCTTAATGGCTGTGAGATGCCCCATCCCTGGCAGTGATCAAGGCCAGTCTGCACACAAGGGCTTGGAGCAACCTGCTCTAGTGGAAGGTGTCCCTGCCCGGGGCAGGGGTTGGAGCTGGAGGAGCTTTAAGGTCCCTTCAACCCAAACCAGGCTGGGATTCTGTGATCTGTACCCCCTGTGATTTCATGGAAACTAAGCAGTAAGTGGGAAAGTTACTGAAACTCACAAATGGGCAGAGCTGACTGGTTGCATAAAGCTTATTTCCTTCAGAAACATCACCTAAAAAATACCATCCTGTATTCATACAAGAAATAGTCACACAGACCTGAAATACAGGAGAGAAAATGACTTTTAAAATAGGACTTAGTCTTGAAAAGTTAATTTAACTTTTTGATACAGAAGTCCAGATACTTCGCTCCTTTCATAAAACCAGAATAAAGGTAACAAAGACCCCTCCTTTGCCTCCTCACAGAGCGAAGACTGATGAGAATCAAAGGCTTGTCTCAGGAGGTGACCTCCAAAGACATGCTGCGCACTCTCTCCCAGGCCAAGAAGGAATGTTGGGACAGGTTCCTGCAGGAGAAGTTTGAGTCGGAATTCTATGTAGAGGGGCACGACTCTGATGAGAGGTAATGAGCAAGTGGAGGGGAAGGGATAAGCACTCACCGTGTGGGCAGCAGACTTGGGTTCTTAAAACCTAATCTAGGGGGTTGTCAGGTCTTATGACAAAAGAACTTGTCACTGCACTGTCACAGGCTTTCTGAAGCAGCTCAATAGTGGCTGTTTGCGTCATCCTAGGGGGGAACACCCAGAGCAGGTAGGGTTGGAACTTCCAGTGCTGCTCACTGGTTTTTGCATCCCTCAGTCTGGGGTGATCCAGCACAGAAACAACTGGAACCTCCTGGGTAATTCCCCTTGTCACATTTAGGGTAGAGATGGAGTGGAAGAGGGGATGTCCAGCATGTCTTGCATTGCTTTTTGTAAGGCTTACCTTTAAAAGGGAACCCCAAGCCCTTCTCTTCACCTCTTTAAGGCACAGTGAAGCACTGCTTCAGACACCAGTGGGGTGTAAAGTTCATTACAGGGTTGGTACCAGTCCCGGGATGAGATTTCCTGAGCAGCTTTCCCTTCTGTGCCTTTCTAACAGTGCCTCTGCTCTCCCACCCATTACCCTTTTACAGATGACATATGAATTAAGATGAGAGCCCTTTCCTCCAGCAATCTCACATTCCCAATCACTTCTAACACTCTCAATATTCCTCCTTTCTGAGCTGGCATTTGTCATGATTGCTTCTAGCAGAAAAGGGATTATTTTCCTCCCTTGAAGAAAATCTCCTTAAGCTGTTTGGGAGTTTAAGTATGAAAAATTAAGGAGTTTATAGTTTCTTTCTTTGACCAGTTAACTTCAACGTCATTTATATTTAAACCCAGGCTTTTGTGGACTTATGTGTGCTCTTTGTACTGTTTCTAAAGGCTGGGGATGTTATCAGTGAAAGGATTTTCTTCCCTAGCATTTGACATGGAAGTTAGAGGTCACTCCCGATGCCAAAGCATTTGATTCTCCCCCATTAACATAATTAAACAGACCTTCACTTTCAAACACACAGATAACTCCAAGGACTTTACCCAGTGAAATCCTGCTCTTGTGACAGAGCAAGCCAAGTTCGTTTTGTTGTGGCAGCACTGAATGACTTGTAATCTTCCAGAAGTGTGATCCGATACACACAGACACATACATTTAAGAAGGATAACATTAAACTTTTGGGGTTTTAGCCACATTGAATCAAAGATGGGGTGGATCTGTTCTGGTGGGACCAGTTATTATGTGCTAGGCTGTAAGACAGTAAAAATAACTAGTATGTATTTATATAAATAAATATAAATAATA